GAGAGGTTAAAAATCATCTCTTTATAGACGGAGTTTCTACAGATAAACTCATAGCACTACAACTGAAACTTATTGTCAATAAGGTTAAGCTCGCATAATAGTTGTCATATATCCGATGCAGAATAATGTGGTACAACAGAGCTCCTCTGGATCATAATCTGTTCACGGAACATGTCTGTTCGTTAGTGCATGTCAGCAGTCTAAGCCTCTATGGCAACAACCTATCGCTCCACCAAGTTTGTCAATTTGGCTGAATATTTGTTACTCTCCCCTATCCTATCCATCATTCGATGGATCCCTGTGTTCATCGCTTCAAATTATGAATTCATATTAACATCGATCATGTGAATTTTTCTCTTGCAGCCCCTGGATGAAGAGGTGTCACCAAATGGGGCAGATGAGATAGATGGAAAAACGTCGAGACTGTACGAATCAACTCGCGGAGGATAGGGTTGCATCTTAGTAAATGAGGGAGTGTATTCCTAGTAGAGGAAGGGATTTGTTGCATCTTCATTTAGGTCAACGCCCAAGTCAACTATGAAATCGTGTTGTTGTCGAACCTGTCGTGTGGTCCCGATCATGTGTCTCGTGGTACGATCAACTCCCCATAGCTTTTCCAACAAGTCATAAAACTTAATGGAGGTGACCTTTCATTTGGTAACATATGGTTTTGCCTGAGATAAAACATTTGCACACACGTTCAAATATTGTTGGCTATTATAATTAAAGTGTAATTTAGTTACTTCAACATTAATACTTGAATCAAGTCTTGCCAGACTTCAAGTTCAGCTACAAACATCCTTGTGGCCTCATTCCATGTAAAATCGCTGAGGCCCCTAAAAGATAATGGATTTCACGTCATCGATCTTTCAAACATTTTTTCTTGTTCTTTACGTTATTTTTATTGATACAAGAATAACTAGTTTGTCTTAATACTTATACAATATTTGTGTAGGCCTGACTGGTCCAACTGTCATCTATCTTATTATCATCCCGAGTTTCGTCATTCATGGAAATTAGCAATTGCAGATCCATAACTTCAATCCATTTTCTACACTCTTGCATGTTCTGGCTTACATCAACCTATCATTTCCCTCTATTCATTGTTAGCCTGGAAACAACTAAGTTATACTACTTTATATCATTTTTATTATAGTTGGCGTAAATTACAATTTTTACATTAAACAAGTGATAATGATATTAACTTATAGATCATCAATTACACACAAATATACATGAATAAAAAAACAAAATTCAAAAACATAATTTATTGTTCATAATCATGTCACATTTAGGCTGTTATTAGATTCCTTAAGTTAGCCCCTTCCCCTATAATCATCTTCTTGAATTTGTGTTGCAGACCTATCATCCACATGTTCCTCTAATTCTCGGTCCATTTCATGTAGAAAAGATTCCTAGTTATCTACTCCACGTGAAAAGTTGTGCAAAATGCAGTATGCAAAAACTATATTCCTCAATGTTTCAAAACTATAATGGGGTTTAACCCCACTTGCTATAATGACAAATATTTTCTTTAACACACCAAATGTCCTCCCATACATTTCTCATTGAGGAATAACAATGATTAAATAATTTTCGAGGAGTCGTAGGACCTATTTGCAAATACTCCTTAAGGTTGTACCTTACCCCCAGACATGAGGTTATAATTTAAGTTTTGAGCATGAATCCTACGTCTCCTACATAATATTTACCTACACAAAAGAACATTACTTAGTAATTGCTATTAATAATTTACGTTAAGAAATAAACGATATTTGTTGTCAAATGCTGCATACCATCTGGTATGGTTAGTGGATCCTCCTTTGTTAAGGCGTCTTTTAAAATTCGCAAGTCAGATACAATACCTTCCCACCCTGCTAGCAAATATGTGAATCTCATGTTGAAATCACATGCCACAAACACATTTTGGGTTGACCAATCTTTTCTACCACTAAAATGAGGGATTTCCGATCATGGTATTTTGACGTGGATATGTGTTCCATCAATTGTACTAAGACAATCCTTAAAATATGGATAAAATCTAGGATTGTTATATATGTATGCTTGTACATTCGTTCTTACAGTTGAACAAAAAATTCTTCATCTAATTCAATTATCGCATTCAACACATTGTGGAAATGTCGACTCACTCTCTTACCTGATTGATGAAAGAAAAATGACATTGTATGATTTTTAATCTTATGACCTAAAATATGTAAAAATTTGGCAACTTGTTTTTCAATTGTTGACCTAAACGTATCTTTCACGATGTTAATTGCTCTTAATCAATGACACAATTTCATGAAGGCGTTGGATCCCTTGTGAATAATATTACGACATTGCTCCGAATATTAGTATCGCAACGTTGACATTTTGTTATATCTATTTAGGAGCCTAACATATTAAGTTCGTATTCATCTCCGACACATTAATACTAGATTTTTCTTCTTCTAAAGCCATGTATTCGTCATTTTGATTTTCCATGGTCAAATAATAATCTTTATGTCACAAAAAAAAACTTAAATTAATTTTGTTTAATTGTATTTAATTATGCATGTCCTAATCACACATAGCTCCATCATTAAAAATAATTTTGTAATCATGAAATGAAAAAAAAATTAACAAATCAAGTTATTTAATAGTACATCAACTTCGAAAATATTTTTAAATTAAAAATTTTAAAAATATTAAGTTCTTAAAAATAGGTAAAATCCATTTGTTTTAATCACTCATTTATTTAGTCCCTACCATTATTAAAATTGATAAATTTGCATGTCCATTATTCCATTTTTCATGTAGAGGAGCGCCAACAACTCCTCATTTTCTTTCTCATCCGAATAATCCATGCCCCACAACTCCTCATTCCTCCAATTATATGCTCACCTTGCATGGAGCACCCCAATCCATGCGCATCTTGTAACTCTTGAATGACACCCAATATAAACAACTCTGCTACCATGATACACAATTCATGTGTGACCATGGGCAATTACCAAGGAGGTTCACCATGAGAACTCACCACATCTTGGACAACCACATGAGGCAATGCCACACACGTGTTCTAATTAAGGAAATAACACAAGATCTTCTTCATACAAGATGAAAAAATATATCAAAGGCCATTAATGACAATAAAGAATGGGATGAGTTGAGAGACCACATATTAGAATATGAAAGCCTCAATAAGCAATTATAGGTGACCTTATAATCAAATATGCATTGTTGCATAATTGATTATGACTTTGTGCATATTCGAATATATAACATATGATATAATTGAATATGCCCTCTTGCAGGGTCATCTTCCACTATTATGCAACTCTTCATCAACAATTCTAATGTTGATACGTCTAGCAACATGATATAATCCATTACTATTTCGATACTCTATACAACATTTCATAAAAAAATATTAAGAGCAATATTTCTATTAGCATGAACTAATAGACTATTATGTAACATTTCTATGCAAGATTTTCATCAACAATTAAAACAATAATTAAAACAACATGATATAATCCACTATTATGCAACATTTTAAACAACAATATAAGTAGCCTAACTACAATTGTATAATTCAACAACACCAACAAACACAGTCAGCCACAACAATCAACAATGGAATCAACAAACATAATCAGTCACAATAATTAACAATAGAATCATTGGTTCAACGAAAAATAACTCACAGGATTTGTAACGGAAATGGTATACACAACTGGATGGAACACGAACCTTCTCACTTTGAGCTTCAAAAAATGTATTGACACTACTGAGAATGGAGAATGCTGCGAGAGAGAGAAAGAGAATGTGTAATGTAGTGTTGTTGGTAGATGTGACATTTATAGAGGTTAATGAAGGAGGTGAATGTTAAAATAGTTACATCTCCACCATTCTCTGCGCATAGGTAATAAACAGGATATATAAGACCAAACATCTGTACAAAAAACTGGTTATGGTTCGCTCTGAATCATTAGGTTGAGATACATAATTTTGTGTATGATATTTTTTAGACAATTTAGCCTATGTTCTTTACAAATCAAAACATTTCTTCACTTAAATATAAAGGTTTTCCATTGTGTGACACCCTCACATAAATTACTACAAATCCATATAAATATTAAAATCAAAACAAGATACATTTATCAAATCTCCGTTTACAGATCAGCTTAACAAATAAATGGTTAGAAACAACAGGTTGAGTCCTTGACTTTTTTCTTTTCTTACCCAAACAACTTTTAATTTTTTTTTTTACCATTCCAAACTACTCCTTTTCCCATTATGAATTTACTTGACTTTCTTAATTATCTAATTCATTTTAAAAATAACCTTATATTATCATTTTATTTATTTATCTAAAAATCTAAGAAATAATTTATATATTAAAGTTATTTTATTTTACATTTAACTATCATACATTTTACCCATTTCAATTTTTTATTTATTATAAAATTCAATTATGATGAAAATAAATATTTAGCTTGTAAAACCTATCATATATATATATATATATATATATATATATATATAGGGTTACGTATACAAATAAATATGTATTCTATAACATTAACATTACTAAGTAATATATTCTATTATAACAATTGAAGTTTTTTTTATCACACAATTAGTATAGTTTATTTGGAACAAATTAAAATATGTTTTTTAATTAAATGGGTCCAGTTGATATTAAAATAACCAAAGTTAGCAAAAAAAAAAAAAAAAATTCTTTCTCGCTTCACCATTTCAGCTTCACTATTTTAGCCGTCTTGCACTTTCTCTCTCTCTCTCTCTCTCTCTCTCTCTCTAGAATCTTCTCCGATCGAGTTACACTCGACAAGAACAAAAGCCGATAAGAACAAAAGCCGATCTGCTCAACGTAAGACAGTTCCACTTCCAGAATTTGTACCTCCCATGCTGTTTGGTTCTTCACAAAATCTATTCCATTCTAATTAATTTGTACTTTTTTTGCATTCTTCTCAAGTTGTGTAAAATTTTGCAGAATGGAGGAAGTTCAAGAGTCCCAAACCCAACCATCGCTCGGTAATTTGCATGCGCTCATATGGAATTATAAAATGGCCTTCTTTCAACTTCTTATACACTTATTTAAGCCTTCATTTTTTCACACTGTTATTGGTTGCAGGTCAAGAAGATGAAAATGAAGTAATTACTGAAAATTCAGCATTTGTTAAAGGGGAACCAGCTTCAGAATTCAGTAGTAGCCCCCCAAAAGTTGACTCTGAAGTTGAGGTCCTTCATGAGAAGGTCACCAAACAAATCATTAAGGAAGGGCATGGCCAGAAGCCTTCGAAATATTCAACTTGTTTTTGTAAGTACTAGTCTCACACATCTTGTTTGCAATTGTCAACAATCCCTGTTTCCTGCTAGAGTAAAAGCCCGATAGTTACATAATTTAATTCATAATTGTGTATATAATTGCTCTAACACAAGTGATTATATCCCTGTTAAACTACTTGTGCTTTCACTTCAAGCTACCATAAATACAAGGGCTAAGTAGCGGCTATAGCAATAATGAAGGGGGATTTGGGGGTATATGCTAAGTACTTTCAAATTATGTGATATCAGAATTTCTTTCTTCCTTGGAATGCTTCATTGTGTCTAGTTATTTATGGCAACTTAAGATATAGTTTAAGCAATTTAAGGCAACGCTTTTTATGTGTATGTATAATGTTGGGACAGCTGATGTTTTTTCTCATAGGAAAAATTCTATTTTTGAGGTTAAATGGGGACAAAAGCTGGAATGAGCAATATTATATCAAGAAGTAGTCCACTACTTCCCTATATCTGCCACTGTACCATTCTTAGTAGCCCTTTCCTGCAAAGCCTTTTCTTTTCGTTGTTGGGTCAAAATTATGATTTCTAGATGGTATATGGTTGTAGTCCATTACAGGGCTTGGTCTGAGAAAACACAGCACAAGTTTGAAGACACATGGCAGGAGCAAAGGCCAGTTGAGATGGTCTTGGGAAAAGGTACGTTCCCGGAAGTTTAAAGTACTGGATTTCTTTTTCCGTTAATCAATAAGCTGGTAAAATACCTCTTCTAGACCCTTTACTGTCATTTGATTTTGATGTATTTCCCTTAAACAGAGAAGAAAGAAATGACTGGGTTGGGCATTGGTGTGGCAAGCATGAAATCTGGGGAGCGTGCATTGGTGCTTGTGGGCTGGGAGTTAGGATATGGAGAGGAAGGAAGCTTTTCTTTTCCAAACGTTCCACCCATGGCAGATTTAGTTTATGAAGTTGAGCTCATTGGCTTTGATGAAACAAAAGAAGTAAGTTGAATTAAATGATGGAATGGTTGTGGACTTGGTGAGATGCTTATAGAACCTTATTTTCACAGGGGAAAGCTCGCAGTGATATGACTGTGGAGGAAAGGATTGGTGCAGCAGACCGGAGAAAGATGGATGGAAATGCTTTATATCAGGAAGAGAAACTAGAGGAGGCTATGCAACAGTATGAAATGGTTACACACTTATGTTTCTTGCGCTCTTCTACATAGTTCTTTACTGTTCTTAATTCATGGAAATTTATTTCTTCTCATAATATTTTAGTTTATTTGAAAAATTTGTGATTGTCTTGGTTCTTTTCAGGCCATAGCGTATATGGGAGATGACTTCATGTTCCAGTTGTTTGGGAAATATAGAGATATGGCTCTGGCTGTAAAGAATCCATGCCATCTTAACATGGCAGCTTGTTTGATTAAGCTGAACCGTTATGAAGAAGCTATAGGACAATGCAGCATTGTGAGTATAAGACAAGTCTTTAACCAATCAATTCAGCATAAAATGCTTTCTTTTGTAAGCCATACTATTCATCAGTGTTCCAATAATTCCTTTTCTAAATACAAAATAGCACCAGAACTATCTTTTCTGCTTGCTCCTTTCACCCAGATTTGGGTTGTGAACTGGTAAATGGAATAATAATATTATGAAAGTAAAGTTAGTCTTATAGTATACTGCTCTAGTGTCAGACATTAGTGAGATCGTAATATATTCTCTTTGAGACGTTGAAGACAGCTAATCCTTTTTTTGTCACAAAGAGTTTATTTTAATCTTATTGAAGGGAAACTTGCAACTGTTTTTTGTTACCCTAGTCAGATCATGCCAAGATAAGAAATGCGGACTTCATCACCATTCAATACTAAGCATGTCCTCTCATATTTTGTCAGCTAAAGAAATTATATAGCTGCTACCCACATAGAGATGTTTTTGTTGCCAGTTTAGCAAGTAACTTTTGGGCACCGCATTAAGTTTATTTGATATGTAATAGGATAGGGTGTGTCATCTCATCTAGAATACGAATTAAGCCTAATATCATAGAATTTAGCTATCCATGATTGTGAATTTACAATGCAATGTTAAACCGTGATTTTCTGATAGAAACTGAGATAATCTTTTTCCGTTGTGTTTGGAAGATTTTATTTACAGTTTATTTGAGTTTACAGCATAAGTATTTGGCAGAGCCATAAGTTGTTTTCAGCCTATTCCAATAAACTTCTCGGTAATTTTCTAAAACAACTTGCAACTTGCATTAAAACATTTTGATCTTATTGCTTCTATTATAGAAACACATTATACATAACCATTTACCTGATAACTACTTACTCAGTAAGTGCTTAATTAAGTTGTTTACACAAAAGTCAAGTCATTTTGGTCACTCACTTGTGTGTAACTTTATGATGGAACTTGCAGGTACTGGGTGAGGATGAGAACAATGTGAAGGCATTATTTAGGCGAGGTAAGGCTAGAGCAGCACTTGGGCAAACGGATGCTGCCAGAGAAGATTTTCTAAAGGCCCGTAAATATGCCCCTCAAGATAAAGCAATTGCAAGAGAATTGAGATTGCTTGCTGAGCATGACAAGGCCGTTTACCAAAAGCAGAAAGAGATATATAAAGGAATATTTGGACCAAGGCCTGAACCAGTTCCTAAGTCAAGAAACTGGATCATACTTATTTGGCGGTGGTTCCTTTCAGTATTCAATGGCCTTGTCAGTCTCTTCAAACGTGAAAGGATTAAATCTGACTAAACACAAAGACTATTGGTGAGTTGACCATTAATTACGTGTATCCTACTAAAGCCCACATCTTGTACTGCTGTGCAAACAATCATACATACTTTTAGTATTTTCCTTTTGCTTGTGAAACAATCAGACGTTGAAAAAGAAGTGGCAGCTTCACTCTTAGGAGTTATCTTTGACAAATCTACCAATCTGCTCTTATGTTATTTTTCATAGTTTGGTAGTTTGTCTAAAACTTCCTTGTTGCCGAATCAGATGATTGAAATTATCATTGTCGCTTAAATCGGGTAATTATTTTTAGAAGATTTGTAGTACTCCTTTGAATTAGTTGATGATTGGGTAGCTCTAGTTCATGGATATTTCAAAATGAATGAAATTTTTATCGTATTCATGCTTAAGGAACCAACAGAACTCACGAAACAAATAAATAAAGAATAATCAATTATGTATCTGCATCCTAACACTCGAAACCATGTAACATAGTTAAGGATGAAAATCGGGGCTTACATCGGATTTCCAAACGAAAAAGACAGCAAAAAAAAGAAAATAGTTTTCTCTTTTATCGATCTGAGCAGTAAATAGGATTACTGTATAGCCCTTTCCATCTTGAACGGAGAAAATCACAATCATCCTCTTATTGGCCTCACAATTCTCTCCCAACTAATCAATATACAGATAATCACATATAGAGAATCACGAAGATGTAACTAGTAACAAAGATAATATTCACGTAGCAAAATAACAATAATAATTTTAAAATGGCATTCTGCAGTCATCATCTATTATCATTACAGGAACAATATCTTCCAAACATAAAATACACCTGATTTCTCTGATGCATATACAACCAGTTCTTGTTTACAACCTCAAAGATTTTTTGTTTCTACAGCTGAGAATAACTAGCTACCACATGGGTTTGGGCACAGTGGTCCAAGCAAAATAGGCACACACAAGCATCTGGGATATGTACACATAAACTGCAAAGGATATACTCATCAGCAACAAGTCTTTCCAATCACCCTTTTGCTGTGGACTCAAATTCTGCTTCACCCTTTTCCCTGTCTCCTCGATACCATTTAACATTTTCCATTTGAACAAGTTTAGCTTCCCTCCTCCCATGTGATCTTTCTTCTCTTCCGGATCTGGTTTTCTACCCTGGCAGGATAGGAGAATCAAAATCCTGGGTGTGTTTCTGCTTGTGAATTCATGATGAGAAGGTACCCTTGTGCTACAACAACAGTGGCCAACAGTGAGAGCTGCCATGCCATGCGTGGAAGAAAGATCAGATTTTGCTTATTGATATATATGACTGTGCGGAATATAAATAACAGATATGAAGTTGGAATTTGAAGCTAACGAAGCAGAAGAAGATAAACCTGTCACTTGGTAATAGGTGGTCACTTTCTTCACGCTAATGAAGAAGAATAATAGTGTACAATATCAGTCTTAGATATTTTCTTCTACAAATACCCAAATGGATAAGGGGCCCTGTAGTCTCTAAACCCATGCATTGTGTGGAGGAGGAACAAATTAGCTTTTTTTATAGCTTTCGTATTTTTAATCCTCTTCCTCATAACCTGTGATTCGCTGCTAACTTCAAAGTTGAAAACTTCTGCTTTTTAAACATGTTTTACCACTTGCAAAGCAAGATTAAGAGTATTTTAAACTTGTTTTATCTCTGAATGATGAGGAATGGTTTTGATTGAATAGGAGCTATATACATAACGTGAAACGGAGCGCAGAGAATAAAAATGGCGAAGTCACGTGACGTGAAAAGCATGTACAAGAGTCAAATGATGCCAGCTTTTAACACGTTCACGCTATCATTCCATTTAAGTAATTCTCCAACGCAATCTTTCTCTTTATTAATTTTTTAAAAATTTATTTTACTTCAACTTACTCAACGCTTTAATGAATAACTGAGGAGAAGATGCAGTTGCAGAGTGCAATGTTAGAGTTAGGGTTAGCTTCATCATAACTCACATCACATGCTTAACTAACCAGGAAAAAGGAATTTCAAATTTGTATTGAAAAGAAAAAAATTAAAGTTTCTTACATATTAAAAATTCAAATTAATCGTAAACATTGGTAAAATACATTAACAGAAATTAAAATATTTAAAATTTATATAAAAATAATTTTATCATTCCAAAATTTATTTAAAATGTTGTGCTTGAAAAAATTATGATGAAATCATACAAAATTTTCACATGAAATAATTATGATCTTCGACCCAATGTTCATTACTATATGTTTGACTTCATTAATAAATGAAAAAGTTATAAACTTCTTAGCTTTTCAAACACAATTATGGCCAACAAAATTTAAAATTTCCAACTTTCACCAACTTCTTTATTCCAACTTCTAATTCACTGAAGAGACAAATTTGCAAATCATAGCTTTTGCATAGAAATTTGAAAGCATAGAATAAATTTAGAATATAATGTTTTTTTTTTCTTTTTTATGTTAGTGTCTTTTGGAACAATTGTTTTATTAAACTACTTGTAATTTAAATTTAACATCAATTTAAACCGCAACTGAACTTGACATCTTCAGTTTAATTAACTGGAGAAAATTTTAAAAATTAAACTTAATCAAATTAAAGAAAAATTATAAAAAACTAAATAAAATTGACTCTGTTTTGACCTTGATGTAGAATGCATAACAACAAACAACTGAGATGCACCAACTGCTTTTATTATTCATCACATTATTGGATTGGGCAAAATGAACCACCAAATTCATGACATTTTCAGTAGAAAGGAAAGAAATTTGAGAGCAACACGTGTCACTGAACCAACGGTGAAGGAGCAGGAAACACACAGAAATTGTGAACCCCACCACACGCAATATAAATCACCCGAACCACAACAGTACAAAGTACAAACAAGTCAAGTGCGTTCCTATTTTTATAATCCCACTGCAATGCGCTGGATACGCGCAATGCGCACCCCGCTGTTCCGTTTTCCTTTTCCCACCTATCCACGCATGACCAGTGCGTTGTGCGCACTTTGCGTATCAAAGTCCAACTCCTTCTTCTTTTTCTTCTTCTCTCTCTTCAGAAGCTAAACTGCGTTGACTGAGATAAATCCTACGCTTTTTTCGTTTCATTCCTTTTCCCCATTCTCTTCTCTTTATTACACACACCGCTCACTCGTCTGAACGTCCTCGCCGGTGCCTTTTCCGATCATTTCTCTTAATATTTCCTTTGTCTCTCTTTTCATTCTCGCTTCCCTTATACAGGAAGCACCTTCTCTGTTCTGTTTTCGATATCGAACTAGGGTTTCGGAAACCCTAGCTGATGTTATTGTTGCTATAACTGCTCCATGAGTTTGGGACGGACCTTGTTGGAGTTATTCAGATTCACTTGGTTGAGATAAACGACGGCTGTTTTACTCTGCGTTTTGGCGATTTTTTGAATATGAAGAGATTGAGGTCCAGCGATGATCTTCACTCGTACGGAGGCGACAAGAATAGCAATGGTTGCAAGGATTCGAGTAATCTGAACCGTTCGTTTTCGTCGGCGCAGCGGAGTTGCTACTACAAGCCTGAGAATGCGCGAAAAGGTTTGGTCTCGTCCTCGTCGTCCCGGTACGAGAGGGATCGGGCGGTTGAGGAGGACCGGGAGGGTTCGAGGGTGGTTCGGAAGCGATCTGAGCACGATTTCGATGGATTTGATCGTAGGAAAGGGTTCGATCGGTACAGAGAGAGTGACCGGAGTTTGATGCACCGGTCGGAGAGTTTCTGCAGCGGTGGATCGCGGAGGGATCAGTTTCCGAAGGGGTTTCGGTCGGAGAGAGAGCGGTCGCGGAGGGAGGGAAGTGTGTCGTCTTGGCGGAGAGGGTTGAAGGATTTGGATGACAGGGAGAGGGTGGTGCGTTCGCCTAAGGGTTTGAGGGATGTGAAGTCTCCGTCTTGGTCCAAGGATTCTGTTTCGGAGAGCGAGCAATCTAAGAAGAGATCTTCTTCTCCCAGGCCCTTCAGAGAGGGTAACTCCAACAAGTCTAAGTCTAAGTCTCCCACTTGGTCTAAGGATTCTATTTCGGAGAGCGAGCAGTCCAAGAGTGTTGAGGTGAAGAAGGCCGAAGAGGAGTTGTTGCAGCAGGTTCAGAGTGGTAGCAGTAGTGAGATGGAAGAAGGTGAGCTTGAACCTGAACCCCAAACGGATGTGGTTCCTCCTGCTAGTGAAGACTTGGCTCCCTCTGTTAATTTGGAGACTGATGAGAAGGAAGTTCAGAAGAATGAATGCCACCCTAATGATGATGACACTGATGCTATCATGGATGAGAGACAAGGGTTGTCGTCTAAGGAAGAGGTGAAACCTAATAATGAGGAGGTTCGTTGTGATGTTGAGGATGAAGAGAAAGAGGTTGATAAGCTGCCGGATGTTCAGGATGATTCGACCTTGAAAATGGTTGTTACTGAGACTGAACTTGGTTCTGTGGGTAATGATGATGATGATGATAAAAGAGAGGAGTGTTTGGATGCGGGTGCTGAGGGCGAGGAGGAAACAAAGAAGGGTGCGGATGTGGAGAAGGAGAAGGTGGTGTTGAATGAAAATGAGAACATAGAGGAGAAGGGTGTAGATCTGGGAACCAGCACGGATGTTGTCAAACCTGAGTTAAATTATGGAGTATCAACAGAAAATGAAGTTCCCAAGGAATTGGATAGAGGAGTTATGGTGAGTGTCGTTAACAATGTGAAGGATAAAGGGAAAGGAATTTCTGTAGCACTTGCACCTCCTATTGATGCTGCTCATTCTTTGGATGATGGCTTGTGGATGGACAGAGGTTCGACGGACCTCCCAACGTGTTCTGTTGATATTATAGAAGGTCCAAGCACAAGGGGATTTGAGTTGTTCTCCAGATCTCCTGTTAGAAAAGTGGAGAAGGTAGACCACTCGGTTCTCAACAAGCACAAGGATGATTTGGAGCAGCTTGATCTTACTCTTAGCTTGCCGAATGTTTTGTTACCTATTGGTGCTCATGAGACTGGAGCTCATGAGACATCATCTCAAGCCCCTGGATCCCCCAGTCAAGCAAGGAGTGTGCAGTCTTTAAGTAATACATTTTGTACCAACTCAGATGGTTTTCCCGCATCAATGTCCTTTTCAGGTTCACAATCATTCTATCACAATCCAAGCTGTTCTCTGACAAAAAACTCAGTGGATTATGAACAATCTGTTGGCAGTCGCCCTTTGTTCCAGGGAATAGATCAAGTTTCGCAAGGATGTTGGCAAGGTCAGTCTCAGAGTGATCCCAAACAGAAAGAAGTTCCTTTTGGTCAAAGAACCTTGGTGAATGCAAATGGCTCCCTTTTCCAGTCTCAGGCATCATGGGGTGTTTTAGACAGTCAAGCTGTGAAGGGTCAACATTCCAGGCTTCTAGAAGGAACTTCAAAAGTTGGGGGTGGACTTGACAGGCAATTGAGTTTTCACAAGCAGTTTTCAGGGCAGTCAAGACGCCATGATGATGTTAGATCTCCGTCACATAGTGTTGGGTCTCATGATATTGGATCAAATTATAGCTTTGAGAAAAAGAGGGAGGTTAGAGACAGGAGTAGTGGTAGTCTGTATCGAACTACCAGCCAGAAGGAACAAGAACAACTGATGGGGGGAGCTGATTTTGTTGAGACAATCATTGCAAGAATTGTTTCTGAACCTGTTCATGCAATGTCTAGAAAGTTTCATGAAATGACCGGACAGTCCATAACATGTCTCAAAGAGGGTATTCGAGAAATCATGCTCAACGCTGATAAGCACGGACAAATACTTGCTTTTCAAAAAGTTCTGCAGAACAGGTCCGATATAATCTTGGATGTCCTATTGAAGTGCCACCGAGTGCAACTGGAAATTTTGGTTGCTTTAAAAACTGGTTTGACTCATTTCCTTCATCTAGATAGCAGCATTTCATCTTCTGAGTTGGCTCAAATTTTTCTAAACTTACGGTGTAAGAATCTTTCATGCCGAAGTCAGTTACCTGTGGATGAATGTGATTGCAAGGTTTGTGCGCAGAAGAATGGTTTTTGCAGAGAATGTATGTGCCTTGTGTGTTATAAGTTTGACAATGCCTCAAATACTTGTAGCTGGGTTGGATGTGATGTTTGCCTTCACTGGTGCCATACTGACTGTGGATTACGGGAATCTTATATTAGAAATGGGCATGGGACGAAAGGGATGACTGAAATGCAGTTTCACTGTATTGCTTGTGACCATCCTTCTGAGATGTTTGGCTTTGTCAAGGAGGTGTTTCATAATTTTGCAAAAGAATGGTCAGTTGAAGCCCTTTGCAAAGAGCTTGAATATGTAAAGAGGATTTTTTCTGCCAGCAAGGATATGAGAGGAAGACAGTTGCATGAGATTGCAGAGCAAATGCTGCCAAGGTTGGCAAATAAGTCTAATCTTCCAGATGTTTTGAGGCACATCATGTCTTTCCTTTCAGGTAAGAGACAAATTTCTTCCATGATAGATACTTTTGCTGTTTTTTTTTTTTTTTTTAAATTTCTTTTAGCTAAATTTTACTTTATGTAAAATGGTTGCATTAAGTGCTAATTTCTGTACACGGAAAATTATGTGGGATTTGATGAGTGAACTGTTTTTGCTAACTTGCAGTTAGCTCGTAGTAATTTAGTACATCTGACATTGATTATAGGTGAATCAAGATACTCAGACTCTTCGAGTATTTTATAATCAATGCCTTTGGACTTGTCTCCTGTGCTCCAATTTCTATAATAATTAAAACAAATATAAATCATGTGAAGCATACATCTCTTTGCATAATATTGGATGAAATCGTTATTGTCACTGAAAGTCGTCCTATCTATCCCAATGACAGATGAAAATATTATAGTTGTCAGATTGGAAATCTTCTGAATAAAATATCATACTTTATTAAATTTGCTTTATGTTAGAGTAAAAAATCTGATTCGTTTATTTTGCCACAGCAAGTCATGCTGTTTAACCTTGGTATGTTTGGAAATCGCAGAAACCATTTTTCGACACCATGTCAGATTAATATTCATGCTTTTGTATTGAATGTAAAACCTGGGGGAAATGCTACGGTCTGACTGCCTGCTCTGCTTATCTTCTAACGAGGCACATGTATATATTTTTAAGCCATAAAATATTGTGTAAAGAAAATGAAAGGGTGTTAGGGTATATTAGATGTGTGCAAAATTTAAGATATTACAGATCTTGGGTCATGGGAAGTTTTATTTTGTTGAGCATTGATTTTCTTTTCACGTTTACATAACTAGTTTTTGAGAAAGGTGAACTGTATGGGTGTGTATTTACATGCATTATGGTCATGACAGATGGTGATTCTTCCAAATTAGCAATGGTAACATTTTCTGGTAAGGAGCAAATTAAAGAAAACAATGGAGTAGCTGGGCCCAGCCAGGAAGCAGCTTGGATGAAATCTATTTATTCAGAAAAACCATCTCTGTTAGAAAGGCCTGCAAATATCCTTCCTGCCTTTGACCAGAACGATAAAAGAACTCTTTCACAAGAATTGCAGATGAGTAGCATCCAGAAGGACTACTGTTTTGACGAATTGGAGAGTGTAGTAAAAATTAAACAGGCAGAGGCTAAAATGTTTCAATCACGTGCTGATGATGCTAGAAGAGAAGCTGAAGGGTTGAAGCGCATTGCCCTTGCAAAGAATGAGAAAATTGAGGAAGAATATGCCAATCGAATTGCCAAGTTGCGATTGACTGAGACTGATGAAATTCGGAAACAAAAATTTGAAGAAGCCCAAGCATTAGAGAGGGCACATCTGGAGTATTTGAACATGAAAAGGAGAATGGAGACAGACATTAAAGATCTGTTATCCAAAATGGAAGCTACTAAAATGAGCCTTGCCATGTGATCAGATAAAATAATTAGAATAGTACTTTCAGGTAAATGTATTATGCCCCCCATCCTGAAATTTGTAGGTTCTGCTGCCACCACCTTATTTGTGTGAGCTACTTTAGTCCTGATCCTTAGATGTATCTATTTGTTGTTGTAGTTCATTTTGCTTTGAAGCTGCTAACCAAAACCTGTAGAGTTCATCACAGCAGTTATTAGTTTTATGAAACAATATCAGTTATGAAAGCAATCTAAATAGGTTATCATCCAAATGCACTTACAACAATGTCCAGCCTGTAGCCTGTAGCTGGGTTGCTGTACAGGCTCTTTTATACTGACTGTCAGCACATGGAGATTATGAAATTATAACTTTAATGGCTATTGTCCTTTGAATCGGTTGTCATCAAGTTATGACTTCATTAGTGTTTTATCTAGTCAAATTGATGTTTTATATTCCAGGTAGTTGCACTAGTCTTCTTAATTTTTTTTAACCTGAGAATTTTCAATGCGTAAATTAACTGGATACGTGTTATGTTACGTGCTTTTTAGAGTTTTTAGATTGGAAATATAAAACTTTTCCCGATAAGCTTTCGAAAGTTATTTTAACATTGTACTCAAATTTGTTCTAAAAATATTTCCCAACCACGTGTGAGTAGCATTGTGCATCTTGTCGAGAGACCCAATTAAAGACAGGTGACACTGGCATGTCCTTTGTATTTTATCAATACTTCCAGATTTATAATTTTCATTTGTGTGTTAATAAAACTTCACTAGAATTTGCCTCTTTCTACCGAAGCTACAGTTTCTTTCTGCATTGAATTAGGTTTCGGAATAAAAGGAGCAAAAAGAAACGGGAATGACTCTGGTACGTATAATTTTCAGTTTTAATGGGTATTATTAAATAGTGGTTAGTTGTTTATTTATCGTCGATTATGTTCAATTGACCCTAAAAACACAATAATAAAATTTAAATTGAACTGTGAATGAAGTTAAAGGGAGATTAAGTTGTGTTGGTTTAACTTTGATAGAAGTTCTATCTTCTATGGACACGTTATGCGTGTAGAGGCTGGGTTATTGAGAACCTACTAAACATCAGAAAGCATAGTCATTTGACATCTTTTTTTAGTCATTTGCCAAAGTAAATGTGCTACAGGGTTTTATCTTTCAATATATTCAATTGTTCAATATCGACTAAATAATATAATATTTTCATGTTGACATAACGTCTAGAAGCAGTAGTCCTTGACAAACTTTAAAAGAGAAAAAAAAAAAAAAACTGAAATGAGTTTTTTTTAAATGATTTTTTAATCATATATAAATAATTTTATTTTATAAAATTTATCTTATTAAACTGGTGCTGTATGACGAAGATGAATTTTCGATTTAATATGTTAAATTGATGTGTAGTATTAGACAGAGAAAGGATAAGTAAGAAGAATGCTGAGAAACATGTTCACACGGGTCTGTAAATGGATTTCAAAAAGTCGAGAAAGTTTAGGTTGTCTTATCATGTTCCGGGCAGTTATATAAATCATACATAATAATAATTTGTTGATAAGACGATAAGCATATAAACAATATGCGAGACAGATAAAGTTTGGTTGTAGATTTTATAATGTGGGTGAGTCAGAACCAAACAGGATCATTGTCACTTCATGATTTGTTTGGTTAGCACATGCTTTCAACCACCTGAGAGAGGTTTATTCAACCCACAACCCATTTACGTGTTCTCACTCTGCATCATTTCATTAAAGATGTATTCACTCCATTATGTTAAGTTTGTGTAAAATAAACTAATTGAATTGTTTATTAGAATACATTTTTGTACAAGCAAATAAAGTAGTAAAACACCACAATATTTCATTCATACGTGTCGCTGTACTTAAAAAAGGTTGAAGCTGGTTTTCATTACTTGGGTTTTGGTAAAAAGTACTCAACATTTTAAGGCTATCTGAAAATCGGACTGAAATTAAAAGTAAGGTTTTCGTAAATAGATTATATGGAGTCACCATCAGTGTTTTAACCTTAAATATTGAAAAAGGAAAAAAGGTATTGGTTTTAGAAAAAACCACCTTTGATCATTATAACCAGAGTTGGATAAGGGAGTTGGTTACGTGTGGGGAAGGTGTTAGGTACCCCACAACGTCTCTTTCAGGATCCTTATGATGGACTAATTTATGAAATAAAAATCAAAAGAAACTATGTTTTTACCCTATTTATTTATCTTCTGACAGAATTTAAATGTCTACATGGTTCTATTATCTAATGCATACAAGGAAAACAATAAAAGAAAGCAGTAAAAGAGAAGGAATAGAGAAATAAACCTCCAAAGCGAGCTTTTTATATAACTCCTCAAACTTGAGGACACTTTTTGTCAATCCCCTTGCTCTACAAGCACGCTCCTCACCAGCAAAAGAAGAAATACCTTACCACCGAGAGCCAGATGTTCCTTAACCGATTTCTATCTTAAACGGAAATCGAAAAGCTTACTCGAACTCTGGAAAGTGCTCAGAGTTATCCTGGAGTCTTAGAAGAACTTCTAGGATGAGAGAAGGGTGTGAGAATGTGTGAAAATGGGGGAGGGGAGGCTCCTATTTATAGAAAATCGCACCAGTCAAGCCGGGATGACCGTCTGACTTTCTAACAGGTGAGACGGTCGTTTGGGATTTAGAGATGGCTGCCTCGCCCTCAAAGAAAAGCAAGACGTACGTCTGACCAAACGAGATGGTCGTCTCGACTTTACAAGAAAACGAGACATGCGCCTGGCCAAACGAGATGGTCGTCTCGACCTCAAAGGAAAGTAAGACGGCCGTCTGGCCAAACGAGACGACCGTCTTGAGTCCCCCTGTCAGCATTTTCTTATTTTTCTTTTTTTTTTCGTACAAAAAACCCTCTTATCCTTACACGGAGCCTAGTGAGCACGACTAGGGGCCCAATGAAGCCTTGTCCATCTTCGAACGGAGGATTTTTTACTTTATTGAGAAGTCGGACAAGATTTGAGGTCTACAACTACCCCTCCCTTCACTCGACCAATTGACTTATGGGTTAATATATCGTAAAATCGATTGGTGGGTGAATGAGTTAACCCTCTTGCCCTGTTGTCCTTCGGATGTTCCTCTTGACGTGGTAGCCGACCCTCGGGACGATGAATGCAGTATGATGTTGTCTTCAGGATGCTTCCTTGCTGCGGAGGCTGACCCTTCAGACGATATGTGTGAAGCTTCAAGATGCTCCTTTGATGCGGTAGCTGACCCCTTGGGTGGTAAATGTGAAGCTTCAGGATGCTCCTTCGATGCGATAGTTGACCCTTTAGCTGATGAATAGGAAACCCCGAGATGCTCCTTTGAAGCGGTAGCTGACCCCGTAGTTTTGGTTTGATGCCTTAGGATGCTCATTTGACGCAGTAGCTGACCCTTCGGCTGATGTAAGTATATGTAGACTTTTTGTCTTCAAGATACTTCCATGCTGCGGAAGCTGACCCTTCAGACGGTGGATTGTGTCTTTAGGATACTCCTTTGCTGCGGAGCTGATTCTTCGGACATTGTGTGTAAGTCCTGCCATCAACATACCCCTTTGCTGTGGAGCTTATCCTTCTGATGGTGGATATGAAGATATTGTCTTCAGGATATTCCTTTGCAACGGAGCTGATCCTTTGGACGATGTATGGAACTCTGTCTTTTAGATGCCCCTTTTGCTATGGTGGCTGATCCTTTCGACAGAGAAAGTGGTGGCGGCTTACTGCTCTTGCTCATGCGCCGACTCCATGGGGAGTGGCTCTTGTTTTGAAAATATATTTTTGGCTTTCCTATGTAGCCATCTGGTTTGTTGATTTTTAGGGATTCTTTGTTGAATGTGTTTTAGGTAGGCAGGAATCCACTAGAGATTTGTTGATTTTGATGGTGCCTTTGAGTAGGCAGATGCTTCATTGTTGATTTCGGCTTGTATTATTTTGCCTTTGAGTAGGCTGATATTTCCTTTAGGAATGTTGGCTCTTTACTTGCCAGGTTTTGCCTATGCATAGGCGAACGACTTACTAAGGATATGTCTTTGAAGAATGTCTTTGCAGTAGGCTCACTGGGGAGTTTGTTCTTTCCTTTTTTTATTGATCCACTGGGTATTTGGTTGACTTCCCTGGGGTCAAATTTTGGTTGTCATATGAGGAATAGAGTCTTGGCTCCTTGATTGTATTGGTGATAGGCTTTTTGTGTAGCCTTTATTCTCCTTTGATGGTGTTAGAGAATGGGTGAATATGTTTTGTTGACTTATCGTGGCAGCGATGCTGAGTTGTGTGGAGATATTTTGTTTGCCTCTGGAGTAGGCAATGATCCGCTTGAGGATTGAGTCTTTCCGTCGGCTTTGTTTGGTTAAATTACCCTCTTTGCTGGAAGGATGATGGTTGGAACTTTTGATTCTGGGCACTCTTGGTTTAATTTGAGTTGTTTGATGATGAAGACGTTGTGCTTGACGCCTCTCATTTTCAATCACAAACATGGACCTAGTATCCTTATATGCATGATTAATGTTTGTGAAAGAGGTTTATTTTTCATGGTTTTGACAAAGTTTTTTTGTGCAATTATTTGTGTGTGAATGTCTTAAATGCAATCTATTTTTATTTGATGCATCTAGAAAAATGACTGTCATTTCCATTGTTGGATGCTGACGGGCTCCCGTTTTACATATTTTTTGTTTTTAGCCCTATTTTTTTCCTAGAACGCCCTTTTACGATTTTCGATCTAGCGAGCTGTCTTATTTTTGCCTAGGATATCTTACAGACTTTTTCCTTTTTATAATTGTCTTATCTTTTTCCTAGACCGCCCTTTATGGGTTTTCGATCTAGTAGGCCGTCTTAATTTTTACCTAAGAATTTTCTAGCAGACGTTTATTCTTTTTGCTTTATTTCTTTTTTCATGCTTCCTTGTGTTGATTTTTTTATGCATGATTTATTAACAAATGGTCAAGAGAAAAGAAGTGAAATAAAATTTTATATATATAAACAAATGGTTTATATTTTTACAAAAG